AGGTAGAAGTAAGTAAATATAGGTAAAAGTAAGTTAATTCTATAATATTTAATATGAAAACTTCCTAGAAACTTCCTAGACGCTGCTTTGACTTCATAGGTGTCTTTAATTGACTTTTTGGATTAGAAACGTGGTCAACAAGTTGGCCATGTGCCACACATGTTGTTAGCTTGAAGATCAAGCTAACTATGTGGCCCACACGTAGAAAAACTTGCCTTGTAAGTCAAGGCATGTGCCCTACAAAGTCAACACCTATTGGAGGTCCTATAGAACGTCGTCACGTAGCTCTTAGTTAGATAGTATATATAGAGACAAGAGTGAAGGCTTCTTCACTCTTGTCAACTCCTTTCTTGCTTCTAGTCTAGTTTCAAGGGTCTCTAGTTTTCTTGTCTTTTGGCAAAAGCCATTCCAGTTCTTCTTTCAATATATATACTTATTTATATATATTTTGTTACCTCTCTTTGAGTGAAGGCTCACTTGTCTGAATTATTTTTTCATCGAGTTCTTGTCCTTGACACTAGCCTGTAAATCAACTATAAATACATGTTAAGTCAAAACATCATCTATGAAATTTCTAAGAAGCTTTTCTAAAAAAATATTATGAAATAAATCTACTTTTATTTGTTTTTACTTAATCATATAGATAAATATTAGAATAAATATATGTATTCCATGATACTCACTCAATGCTTTTAGAAAAGACCTTGCATCATTTTTCAAGTACTTATCCATGATTTTGATAGCATTTTACAACACCAAAGACTAAACATCCAAGCTAAGTTGAGGCTCATGTGCTTCCATTTCTTATCTATCTTTCAACATTTCTTCTTCAATAATAATGGTAATGTCAAGAAGCTTCTTATTTGTGACCTCATGATAAATCTCTTTCTTATCTTTTGAATTCAAAAAAGTCTCATTAGACATGAAGTTTATCATTCTAAGAACAAACATTTAGCAAATGAATTCTTCTTCTAGTACTGTCATGGACATACATTGGAAGATTCTTCGAATATTCTTCTAGAATATTCTCTAAAGATTCCTTTAAAAGGTTCTAGAAGATTCTTAGAATATTCCCTAAAGATTCTCTTAGAAGGTTCTAAGAATATTCTTAGAAGATTCTAGAATATTCTGATAGATTCTAGGAAGTTGCTTGAGAAGTTTCCTAATTAGTAGAAGTTGTTGGAGAAGCGTCCTAGTTAGCGGAAGTAGCTCGAGAAGCTTCCTATTGAGTAGTATATATAGGAGTCGAGGCTGAAGGGTTCTTCAGTCTCGACAACACATCTCTTGGAGTTCTAGCTCACCTTTCTGGTATTGTTCTTGTACTCATCTGTTTAATCTAGTTTTGCCACTTCTTCTTGAACTTCTTGTTAGATTTCAAGTCTGTATTTTGTGTCCGTGACAAGTACCAATTCTTCTTCTAAAAAGTTGAAAGTAGATTGTTTGTCTTCATTGTGGAAGATATCTTATGAGATGCCTTCTACAATAAATTGACCTTTTTCATGGTTGTCAGACAATAAGTTATTTGTATGTTTCCAGCAGTTGAAAATTATATTAGAAGAAATATCATTTCATACTATTTTAATCCATCTCATTGATTGAAGTTGGTCCAACTTATAGGTGTTGATGCATGATTTATCATCTTCTTTACAGCCAATAGTACATTCAAGACAGAAGCTTCCATAGCACCTTTTCAAATGAACAATAATTCCAACATTTATAGATTATATTTTTGAGGTAGTGTTTAGAAGCAAGAAGAGAATTCCAATGTTTGTAAGGATGAAATTCTTGAGTACAAAATGTATGTATAATGATTCATTATTTAGAATGAAAATGATACTATAATTGATAATTTTTATTTTTAAGTCAATATATTTTTTTATTTTTTATTTTTTTTATTTTTATTGCAATAGTAGAACCTAATTTCAATATCAATCTTCTTATTAAAGTATCTTAGTTTGTTTATATAGCCAATGAAGAAAAGATCCAACTTATCATTGTCATTAATATTATTCATCAAGGCTATAGTCAACCAAATTTTGTTGTTTTTTTACTTTGTCAATTTTTAAAGAGGTAATAGAACAATTTGAAGCCATAGAATAAAAAAAAAAATTGATTCATCCATATTGTAAATATCATACAAAGCATATTTATTGGTTTTGCACGTGATGTTTGACAATCTATTAACTATTGCATCTACATCTGCCAAAAAAATCTCTTAATGTGTTCAAAATGATTTGAAGCTCTAACAGCCCAAAAGAATTCAAGCCACTCTTTGGAAAACTTTGGTTGTTTATCCTTAGAAATGCTAAGTCAATTGGCAAAAGAAAATAGGCATTAATTTGAAAATAGAAATGAGACGAGTAGATTCTTTTATGCTTGTATTGTAGCATCCATTTGGCTAGAGCATTATCCAACTCTAGATTGTTCACTATGTGTTGTTGCTTCATCTTCAAGTTTGTTGGGGTCATATTGACCTACTTTCATAGATACTCTTGTTCTTGAATAAACACTCTAGTAACTCTTTATTTTTATAAGTCATTACAAAATGCTTCACTCAACAAAAGTCCTTGTCTTTGCTAACCTCCACATTAAGCAAAAGGAAGCAATATGCGTGGGACAATATGCAGAAGGAGAATGGTCTTTTTGTACTTGTCTAGCTGACCAAGCAATAGAGCACTTTGTTTACACCTTTTGAAGCAGGGTTTTCTGTTTTCAACCTACCATCAACCATGAGGAAGATGGTAAATCATATTACACATTTCAGTACAATCCGCCAATGCAAGGAGTTCTAATCCACCTCTGTTGCATGCCAATTGTCTCTATACATGACTGAAGAATGGAAAAGGGTGAAGAGAGGCAGTGTATGAGGTTCAAAAAAACTTCATTGAAGCACACTGACCACACAGAGAGGATGTGGCACAATAAAAAATGCATCCAAGTATGTGACTCTTAAATATGTTCACCTATGATATCCAATACAAGTCATGTCCTCTGATGGTGCCAGATTTGACAGGTTTGACTGTACTCATCTTGAGCTAATGCTCTTTTCAAGCTTCAAAATGGATCAATTGAGTGAAAATATAATCTATGTACTTGAAAAGTGGTAAAAAAATAAAAAAATAAAAAAATGCATGTAACAACTGTAGCAAAAGTGGAACAAAATGGAGAAGACAGGACATTTGAAAAGGTTTCAGCTGCTTTGAGTTTGGAAGCCCGGAAGGGCTCAGTTTACTCAACATTCATAAGTGTGAACAGAGCTAAATCGAGAGTCCATCGTTCACAAAACCTTCCGCGGTGTGAACGGAGAAGGATGACGTGGCGGAGAGGATGGGGATGGATAACGACGTCCATCGTCAGAGCCCCGTTTTCAGGCGCAGCTGCTTTCAAACAGCAGTCAACCATGATTGCATCTAGTCTGGCCGGGCTGGCCAGCGGCCCCCCCTCCCGTGATCGGAACGGCCCGTTCCGATCTGTTCTCTTGCGCGAAAGTCTGCGAAGTTTGTGATCGTGAGCACTTCTACACGAATTTTAGTATATCGTAGATTGCGGACATAGGTTCACAAACTCGCCAACGAATGAACATTGGACGATGAGGACGTTCGTTGGTGTCCTAACTCGCATGCTTGAGAGGTGGTTGTTAATTGATTGACGAGCATGCGAAGCTAAATAATTGAATAGTGTAGAAAATAATTTAATGCCTGTAGCCAAGAATTGTTTTGCCTGAGGCGTGAAGCAGATACTATGGATTCAATATTCTCAAAAGATTTGATGGTAATAAGATATATATATATATATATATATATATATATTATGTGAGTGCCTTGGGATCCTCACTGTACATCAGAGAAAAAACAAAGCTAAATAAAGTAATTAAATTTAAGGAAATAAAATGGTTGGGTGTGTGCTAGAAAGAAGTGGAATGAAGCTGTTATTTCAGCATGATAGATTGGGGATTGTGTACAAAGGCATTTTGATGACGTCGTGATGATGGACATTTTACGTTATCGTAAAGAGGCGTATTATGAATACCGTAGTGTAAATTAACTTGACAAATATATGCCATGACTCCAACATAGGATTCCCTGTTTCTTTCTTCATTATTATTATTATTATTATTGTTTATTTCATCCCATCCTTGTTTCAATACTAAAATTTTATGTACTCAAAATTGTTATACAAGTCAATCCTCAAAATATGCAATGGTTCAAAATGTTCACATTTGGCTACAGTGTAATTGATTCTGGTGGATTTTATTTTCTAACATGTGTATGGCCCCCTCACACACATGTGTGCTTATATATATATATATATATATATGTGTGTGTATGAAACAAACTTCGAGGTGTTAATATTTTCTTAGCAAATATGCCAAATATCATCACACATTATTCTTCTGAGGAAACATTTACATAAGAAAGTAAAAAGTAAAATAATAAACATAAAATACGTTTTATGCTTTTTCGAAATTAACGAAAAAATCAAAGCTCATGCTAGTGAAAAATGCTACGTTTCACAAAGTGTTCCACTTTGTACAAATGTTCCCTTCCCAGGCATGAAAATTGCTATTTCTTGACCCTTTTGCAGTTTAGAAAATAGCTTTACATGTGGTTCGAGGCGTTATTGACTTGTGCAATTTTCATTTCATGCAGCATCCGAAGTGGTGCAGCAGGTGCCGATTCCACAGCCATCAGGTCCAATTTCTTTCCAAAACCAGAGGCTCCCGTGGTCCTTTCCCTGCGGAATGTGCCCCCATTTCTCATCATCACACCCCCACGCACATTCCGCATCGAAACACGCCTCCCGCATCACTCCCTCAAGCTAAGAATGGAGAGAGCTATGAATGGCGTCGCGTTGGGAGGCGCTCCCAAGGAACATCTCTCCTGCGCTTTGCTCTGCCACGTGTGCAAAACAACTGGCGTCATTCGTAGGATCTTACACGTGTAAAAGTAGTGCGCTGGCCCCAACAAGAGTAGGCGGCTTCCGGTCTCTTTATTACTGCCTGGCGAAGAATTGTGTTTAGAACTTTGAGCAGTGTGTACCCTCGCCCTCAGAGCCCGCAGCGATCCTTCTCGCTCCTGTTGCTGCATCCTTATCGGAGTTTGCTGTTGTAGTTGTTGTTGTATTTTCTGGTTAAGCTTTTAACCATGGCATTCGGAATCTCAAAAGGGATGGTGGCTCCTCTTATGGTCATCAACTTCTGCCTCTACTTGATCTCGGCTGCTATCGCTGGGTATCTCTTGAACAGTGCATTCGACCATGTTTCAACCTCTGGTATGTATTTATGCCCTCATCGAAGCACTTGGACCTTATGCACAGATTATCAGAGTTTTCGGAATTTCTTGAAGAATGTGTGGAGCGGGGTTTTTTTTTCTCTTTCTGTTGGGTGCGGTGCATGCTTCTTGGGATGTCTCAGGAAAGACTGGGAAAGCAGCAGATTGTGAGTCCATTGTTTTAGAGGTCTGATATTTGCCTCGTGGTAGGTTCAAGATACAGCATGTATTCCTCGTTACAGTAGTTCTGTGAGGTTATAGTAAGTATTTGTGTCATAGGAGGTTTCAGATACTGCATGTGTTGGTAGGATGTGTTTTGCATGTTTTGGTTAGTCTCTGCATGCAGACGTGTAAGCTTCGGCTGGCTTGATTTTGTTGGTTGAAAAACACTGCATTTCTTTAGCAATATGATTGTAAAGCTTTATGAGAACTTCCATCTCAAGACAAGCTCTCGAAAGACCAGGAATTAACGATGCGGTCAACTTTGAACCTGGTCGAAGCTTGTCTTGAGGTTCTTCCTTAATAATTTCCGCTTCTGCAGGAACTCACGTCCTTCGTGTCTATTTCAGGAAACCCTGCCACGAGCACTTTCCTCACTTTCGTCTTGATTGCTAGCATGGTTGGTTTGGCCTCCGTCATAGCTGGAGCCCACCACCTGCGTGTGTGGCGCACAGAGAGCCTTGCCTCAGCTGCCGCAGCCGCTACGATTGCGTGGTTGCTGACTCTATTGGCCATGGGCGTTGCATGCAAGGAGATTCACTTCCGTTACGGGCGCAACAAGAGACTGGTATAGTGCATGCCATTACATCTCGCTGCGAATTTGTCACCTTATACATGCACATATCTTCATGTCAGTGGATGATTTTTATTGAGGGTGAGATCTAGGCTTCGGTAGTGGTGGGTGTCTTGGAGATTGGATAACTTGATGAACCTTGAATTGTGGTCGTTGCAGAAAACCATTGAGGCTTTCATGATCATCTTGTCCTTGTTCGAGCTGCTATACCTGTTGGCTCTGCACGCTGGCTCTGTTACACGTGAGGGTTACGCTAACACTCCCGGAGACAGGAATGTCAAGAACCCCAATTACGGTACTCCTGCAGCGGCCGCCGTCTAAGTCTGCCCATCAAACAATGTGGTCTTTGCTCTCGATTGTGTTCAGAGTACTGCAGTGGTGTCGGTCTAGAGTTACAAATTGCTGAGTTCATTCGTTGTTTCTTCATTTTGAGGAGCGCTTGTACAGCATATTCTTGTACATTGTACTATACATACGTATATATTAATAAATTGCGATCCTCTTCTGCGTACTAAGAGATTTTGCATTTGTGTTGACCTCGTACCTTTTTTTCTTATTTATTGTTTGTGGTGCGTGTGTGCGTAACTTCATGTACACGTCATCAATTTTCCATAACAGTCGAGTTAGTTGTGATTTGTCTCCGCTGAATTTATGCTAACAGAAACTTTTCAAGCTGGACTAATCAATTTCCTGTGTTTTTTTCTAGATTGCTTGAACATAAATATATGGCTGGAGTTAATCAAACTAAATAATACTCGGCACATAATGTAGCCAACCCGTACATTAATATAATAGATACACTGGTATTCTGAGATGCACAAAACACATTCCTTTTCGGAATGTTTCAATAACATTCTCAGTTTTCGTTTAGCTTTGGTAACATTCATATCAGCTTAATCATTTTTTCACTTTATCAACTCATGTCGAGCTCTATCATACAATAAGAATGATGTGAATGTACCTTGGTCAAAACGGTAACAAAATTTACGCTGACTGGCACTATAATCCATCGTACACCCGACCTACTTCCCTCGTTGAGTAACTTATACACTCTATTGCCTTCCTGCGAAATCAGGTGTAAGACAATGACAGCATGTGTTGTACATTATTAATATTAATATAAGCGGCGAAATGACTACGTACACGTCAAAACAAAAACAAGCGTGATCTACACAGCAAGAAAGTACACACTGATCATTCTGTCAAATAGATCCGTTGGTAATACAAACTAAAAGGCGGAATATATCACTTCTAGTAACGCTGCCAACTTTCTCACTCGTAGATTTGTGATCCTTCCACAAGCGCACACCATGTGGCACATTCCACAGTGCTCAACAAAGACGGTACGACACGTTGCACCTGTAGGGGCCATAACGTGCAACGCTTGCCGCCTTTCTTATTATGCAAGAAATGTCGAAGACTGGAACGAACCCAAATGCTGGGAGGAAAACTGCCTTGCATGACCTTTTCAGTGCAGGTTTCAAGTTGCATGATCGTCTTGCACGAAATTGGATAGAATTTCATCGAGGCGGTTGATTGTGGACCCATGGAATCCAATAAAATGGCATGCCAGCGACGAAGGCTTTAGTTGGCCATAATTCAGGAAAGTTTTCCCTTGAGCTGACTTGGCATTGACACACTAGAACACCTTAGAATCGATTGACGAAGCAACAAGCTTATTGTTCTGCTACAACAGTGTCCTCATTTTCCTTCCAGCAACTTCATGTTCTACTTACAATTTCAGGAACTCCCGTCTTCACATATTGCAATTATCACATCCTGGCTCAACTGATCTTGATATCTATCTGTTCCTTTAAAGAATGAGCTTGTCTTACTTTGACATACGAAGAGTCGTTGATCGGCCTGTCAGTGTGTGTCGATGGCAGCTGCTGGGGTGGAGTATTATTCTAGCTCAAAAGGTTTTTGCAGATCTTAACATTTTAGAAGTAGAGAGACTGACACTGATCGCTGCTGCTGCTGCACGCTTTTCGATTTGAATCCATCGCTTTGTGAGCTTTTATTTTGAACTGAAATCTAAACACATTTTCGCCGACTTCCACGTACGCCCAGAGTTCAGTTTTGCGAACCATTAATATGAAGGATAGATAATGGTTTCGGTCTCTTCCAGCGGAATTGCCCGGCCTTGGAGAGAGTGACAGTGAGATAAGTGAGGTAAGTTTCTATTTTCTGTGCTTCATAGCTCATTTCTGTTGACCTTGGGCCATAATTTGTTTCACTGTATATTGCTGTTTTTCTTTTTGTAATTTTTTGTGACCTGTGCGGAGTAATTCCGCCACCTTATATTGATCTACTTATGTTGGAACATGCTCTCTCAATGCTTTTAACTCCCTAGGTAAGGGCAAGGACAAACAAAGCTGTAATTTAATGAACACAAAAATTTAGGGGCAATTTATATTTATAAGCCCATTTTGAAAAATTATGGTTCAAAATTTTTACCAATGTCTCTTGCCCGGTGATGAAAAAGTCTTCTTTTGGAAGCATTTTTCTTTTTGGATATAGTATTAAGTGAGAAGAAGCCATGGAACATAACAAATCAATCTTTTTATCACAAGTCTAATTATGTCACTCCATATTTTAATTCAAAGAAGTTTTTTTTTTCTAAAAACTATATCTTTGATATAGATTAAATAGAAATTCCAAAAAATAACTTTATACATTTCTTATAGGAAAAGGATGCATTCTATCTTATTTCTCTTTTTTCAACATTTGGATTTGTTTTTCTAAGATTAAATTAAATTTAAAGAAGCTTTTTAATTCCAACCAATCAAAATATTCAAAATTTGAGGCCTTTCACCTTGTCCTTTAAGTACAAAGTACTTGTAATGTTTACATATATTATAGATTAAGGAGAACATGGATTATAATCTTATTAAGTGTAAATATCTTATTTCATCTAATAATGCTATCTTCTCTAGATTCTAGTATTTTCTTTGTCATCCATGTTTTATTCTATTTACAAAAGAAATTATCATTAAATTCAAGTTATTCTTTAATTTCATTCTTTATCATTTTTATTATTTTATAATACAAAATTAGCCCTAATCATATCAAATCTTTACTTTCATATAATATTATAGTTTATTTTAAAATTTTTTTGCCTTCAATTGAATACATTTGTTTTATACTTTGGCTTTAAAGAATCGACTATAAAGCATTAAATTACTTAAGTTTTAAAGAAGAGAAGAAAAAAAGAGGTGCAACAAAAGTTATTTGATCTTGGATAGAGCCTTTTGAGGGTCTCAACTTTTGTATTCCAAAATCGTATTCTAAGTAAACAAAACTGCCCAATTTTATATTCTTTTAGTTTAATTTAACTTCTAAAATCTATATAATTTTTGTTAATGGTGTAGAATAGGAAGATGGTAGTAAAGGAAGATGATTGGATATGTTAGATCTTCTACTTATTTATAACTATGCTTTCATGCTAAATTTGTAATATATATATATATATATATATATATATATATATATATATTAAATATAAATCTTAAACTATATATCTTATTAGTCAAATTAAAAATTTGGTCTTTCAATTTTTTTTCTCTTATATATATATATATATATATATATATATATATATATATCTAGATATATGTATATGTGCGAAGTTTTTATTCTTCTTGTGTACAAAACTATATTTTGCTTCCTATCTTGGTTATGTGGTACTAAAATTCTTTATTTAATTTCTATTGGAATATAAGAGAATTATAATTTATTATGTCCAATGGTCCATTAATTTTTTTTTTACCAATTCTATATTTTCTTGGACTATTTTGAAGATTGGAACAACTTTGATTATGCTTGCATATCCAAATAAGCTAAAAAGAAGTTGAAAGATTTATCTTTCTTTGCATTTGTTGGATTTTTCTTCATTCCAAAGAAGAATCTTGGATTACCTTGTGATTCTATTTTTTTTATAAGTATAGTTGATTTATTACAATAATTTCATCCAATTTCTAAAATTAGCTCATCAGATTCAGTTCAAATATTATTATTAGAATTTTTGACATTGAATTATAAGGACTAATTTATTTTTTACTTTTAAAAGAATTAAGTGTAATTTTCAAGATTTCTATTTTATATAGAAAGTAAAGTCTCAAAAAAATGATTTCAAACGTTCTATTCTACTTCTAAAAAAAAATTATTTTTGACTTCTTTAAATATCATAAGTTTGTTTTTTTTTAAAAAATAATACACATTATGAGTATTTTTTACATCTTTTAAGCATAATAGTATAACTTTTGTTTATAAAATGTGAATACTAACAAGTGTATTATGATGGTTCTATCAGAGTGATTGCATTTTTAAGCCAAAAGATATTTGTAGAGACTACGTTCAAAGGTGTTGCATAATAAGCTTTTATTCTTTATTGATTTTAGTCTAATTCTTTGTACCTATTCTTTTCTTTAGTTGAAGAAGGAGGATATAAAAATCCTATAAAAACTTAAAAAACTACTTTTTATCTTTGTGTTATGCTATATGTAGCGTTTGAGACCTAAAGAATTGCTTCATCTTAGCTTCAGTTAATTACAAGGTTGTAATTATTTATATTACCAATAAGACCTAAAAGACATTTTTTAAATAAAAAAGGCCAAGTCTTCCATCTTTTAAAGGTCCATAATACTTGTTTTAGGAAACTTTGATGTAAGTAGATGATTAATGATTTTTCTATAATTATACTATTAATAAAGTTTTTTTAATATATAATTTGATGTATATAGCTTATATAATAAGAAAATAAGAAAATAATAAATAAATAAATAAATGGTTATAATCCTAATACTAGTTAAAATTTATAGAATTTAAAATATTTTAAATAAAATTAATTATATAAATTTTATCTATATGTGATTAATTTATGGAAGTATATATATATATATATATATATATATATATATAAGTACATACAAATTACTTAGAAAAAAAGATAAAATAGTTTTTTTTAAAATTTAGAAATAATGCAAACTTAGAATATTTTTATACATTTATATTTTTTAAGATAGTGTATTTTAGTAGAATATTTTACTATTATTACGTAAAAAAATTAACTGAAAAATTTATTATTTCAAATTATTATTATTTTAAAATAAAAATAAAATATTAATTCATAAAAAAATATAATTAAAAAACTTATTAAAATATATAATAGATCTAAATAATATCATCTGAAAGTATAACATTTTTTCAATTTGGAAAATGAACAATAATATCTTTTCTGAATTCAAATAATAAAACTCTTGTTGCCTTATGATGTCTAATCAGTTCATTTAGAAGTTTTATGTCTTTTGCTAATAGCTTCTAATTTACAATTCTTGGCAAAAGTAAGATGATTGATGGTTAGATTTTTAATGGCTTTAGATTCTTCAATGGTATACGAAATACAATAAATTGATGTTATTATATTTTTTAAAAATATTTTTAATCAATCAATCCTAGAGATATTTCAAATAAACCTTTATTCATTTTGTTTTTACTTTAGATCTTGAAAAATTAT